TTGATTAATATCTGTTTGATTTTATTGACAACAATATGATTCTTGTTTTTATTTTGTAGGTACTATAATGTTACAATCAATATAGGACAGCCTTCAAAGCCTTACTTTCTTGATCTTGATACGGGAAGTGATCTTACTTGGCTCCAATGTGATTCTTTCTGTGTTCGTTGTGTTGAGGTAAATTACTCACTCTAACTTCTCTCCTCTCCTGGTATTAAGAATATTCATGCATACTCACGCGGTTGTAATTTATATGATTAATTGCCTTAATGGGTATGAGATATACAACAAAGTACTACAATTTCATTTAGTTCAGATTAGTTTTTCTTGTTAAAATCTTGATGCTGTAGTGAGTACCATATTTTCTGTCATAGAAGCTAATGCATTGAAATTGGTTTCATCCTGCTCTTTGTAGGCACCTCATCCTTTTTACCAACACAGCAATGACCTGGTGCCATGTAGGGATCCACTCTGTGAGTCATTACATCCACCTGGTGAACACAAATGTAACGATCCACGTCAGGATCGTCAGTGTCATTATAAGGTTGAGTATGCAGATGACAGTTCATCTCGTGGATTCCTTGTCAGGGATGTGTTTGCTTTAAACTACACAAATGGAGCTCCACTTAACCCTCGTCTAGCTCTTGGGTTGGTAACTTTGACCGCTTTCTTAGGTTCCAATCTTTTCAAACATTAATAATTTCATTGTCTAGAAGTAATCACATTATTACAAGCAATCTATTCGGTTATTCCTCATAAGACTCCCTGAAATGAAAACATCCCTTGCCATTCTTGTATCCAAAATTTACAATTCTTGATAATGCTTGATGGTGTTCTGTGCATTAACTTTTTCCATGTGTGCAGATGCGGGTATTATCAACCTTCTGGCACATCTCATCATCCTTTGGATGGAGTCCTTGGCCTTGGCAGGGGGAAAACCAGCATCGTGTCTCAGCTTTACAGCCAAAGTCTGGTAAGGAATGTTGTTGGGCACTGCTTGAGTGGAAGAGGAGGAGGTTTTCTCTTCTTTGGGGATGGCCTCTATGATTCTTCACGCATTGTTTGGACATCAATGTCTTCAGAACCTCCGTAATTTAATTCTCCGGCTCCATTTTTGTTTTTCATCATTTCAACAATTTAACATTTGAACTTCAATAAAATAATTCAATTTGTAGCTTTCTGTTCTGATGGTGACTCCTCTACTATCTGCCCACTTGATCATCATTTCATGTCAGGAAATTCTACTCGCCTGGGTTTGCAGAGCTGGTTTTTAGTGGGAAAACAACTGGATTAAAAGATCTCATTGTAGTTTTTGACAGTGGGAGTTCTTACACCTACTTCAATTCTCAGGCATATCAAAATATACTGGATTTGGTAAGTTAATGGACAAATTTTACAATGTTCTCCAAATCGTTTTACAAATTTTATTATAACCATTTTCATGGTGTACTTTTTATAACGTTCAAGCCAAATGTGTTCTTAGATGAACAAGGAACTAGCTGGAAAGCCCTTGAAGGAAGCAACAGATGACCAGACACTCCCTCTCTGCTGGAAAGGCCGGAGGCCTTTCAAAAGCTTGCGTGATGTCAGGAAATTCTTCAAGTCCATTTCCCTTGCCTTCACAAGTAATGGAGCCAAGACTCAGTTTGAATTACCTCCTGAATCTTATCTAATAATATCAGTGAGTACCAGACACTATTTTTAACCATCATTTTCTTCCCCTTTTTTCTTGTATCAAATCAATAACTGACAAAGAAATTTCACAGAACAAGGGAAATGTTTGCTTGGGAATCCTTAATGGTTCTGATGTAGGTCTGAAAAACTTAAATATCATTGGAGGTAAGAGTTTCTGTGCACAAGTATGGAGCCATATTAGTAATCTCTGCCTTTTTATGCGATACGATGAATTCTTTTTTCTTGGTGGATCATTTTAACAGACATATCTATGCAAGACAGAATGGTGATATATGACAATGAGAAGCAGTTGATTGGATGGGCTCTTGCTAATTGTGACCAGCTTCCCAAGCCTAAATATGCTTATACATAATGAAGACACAAGTCTTCCCCATTAATTGTCCACCTGTAACTGTATTAGGATAGAATTATTTCCAAAACGGAATGAGTCCCACTTTCATTAGACTGAATACTTGTAAGTCATAGCCAGAGCAGAAGCTGTGTTACCCATTGTAAATATGTGTATGCGTATTGTTGTTATTTTAAGAAAAAAGTATCAATAGATATCTATAAGAAAAAGAAATGTTTAGAGGTACCATTAATCCATTATTTACAGAGTAATGCATTATATGAGTAGCGAAAAGGCAAAGAAAATGCTGTGCAACACTATATAAGGCTTTCTTTTAAAAAATAAATAAATAAATAAGGGTTTATAATGCTTTCTGTTGTTATTTATCACTCGAGACAACTAACACACAATTAATTTGGTACGTAAATCTAGGTAATACCTTGCATATAAAAATAATTAAAAATTGAAAAAAAGAAAAATCAAATGTGTTAAAATATATTAAAAATATCAAAATGTCTAATAATATTTGTAAGATATGTAAGGCAAAATGTAAGCTCTATTTTTATTAAATTATTATGAGATTATTATTAGACATTATGATACTTTTTATGGTAGGACATTTAATTTTTTTTATTTCCTTAAAAATTTATTTTATTTCAATATATAACTTCTATTGAGTTGCTTTATTTATTTAGAAAAAATTCAACTTTCATTCATATGCTTTGTAAAAATATTATTTAAAGTTAAATACTGCAATTAGTTGAAGGCTACTCATATGTTTAGATAAATGAGAAAAATGCCATTATAAAATTTCTCTTTTTAGAACCCATTTCAATGGCTTTCAGATCTGCGGCCCCATTCTCATCACTAGAGATACCGAGTTGTCCACGCCAAAATTTCCTATTTTCTTCTTTTTTTTTATTGGTTAAATTTAATAAATAGTGTATTAATTATATGATTTATTTCAATTTAGTTTAGAAATAGTTTTTTTTTTAAATGGTGTACTTAACAAATATTTCGTTAACTAAAATAACGAAATGTTTGACTACTTGATAAGTTACCCTCTAAATTTTTAAAAAATGTTAAAATATAGTATATACATTTTTATTTTTTTGTAATATTTATTTTTGAAATTTAAATTTTATGTCAAATGTAATAATTAAAAATATAATACATGCATGATTTTAATTTGGGGATTTATAATATTGAAATAAATTTTTATTTTTTCAAATAATTTTAATTATATGTCGGTGTTTATTTAATTAAATTAAATTTTAAAAGAGTTTATTTATTAAAAACATTAGTATTTAATCATAAATTAATTTTTTTTTAAAAATAATAAAATTTAAATTATAATATTGAGTATTATAAATTAAAATTAAAATCTTAATTAATGTAAACTGAAATTTCATCTTAGTTAATTATTATATTTGACAAAAAATTTAAATTTTAAAAATAAAATATTGTGAAATAGATATATACTATATTTAACATTTTTTAAAAGTTTAGGAGGTAACTTGTCTATACGAACTTGTATAGACAAATATTCTGTTAGTCTAGTTACCGGAACGGAATGTTTGTTAAGTAGATTATTTTGAAACAAAATTAATAATTTATAAATTATTTTTAAAAAATTAGTTTTAAAATAAATTAAAATAAACTATATAATTAATAAATTATTGATTAAATTTAACCTTTTTCGTGTTACATGGCAATCTGTTGTTCTTTAAATAGAGCACACTTCAATGGACTCCTCGCACCAGAATCCCTAACAGACCCAAAACGGTAAACAAGGTGCCGCCATGGATTTCACTACAACCCCATTCATATAGACTCCAAAATTCACAGAACCACCACCCAGATGCATGCTTCCATGAAAGAACATGGTCATCCACCCACTCAGCCCAAGTACAGTGATGTCTCTCAAGCCCTAAGCGGACACTGCATCAGTGCCGAACTAGCCTCGGCCCAATCACTGCACCGACACCACACCAGTCGCGTAGCGTTGATGTTCACAAATCTAGCCTTTGCACCACTTGAAAATTAACACCAATCCGAAACTTAATTGCCAATACCACCAAGCTATTTTCCTATTTATTTATTTTATTTATTTTATTTTTTATTTTTTCCACCCGCACAATTTCTAATCAACATTGGGACAAGAGCAAATCGATTATGTTGCCGCTGCAAGTAAAGCAACACCACTATCCATTCAAGCCTTAATTGCTAATAGACGAAAGAAACAGGGGAGCTTTCCACAGACTTCCAGGGGAATAATCTAAGGACTTCTAAATTGATGATTGTAAGGATAGGTCCGAGGTTAAGGACCTCGGACGTACTGCTATAATTTCTTAATAACCGAAGTGAAGCACTTTCTAGTCAAACAACTGCATGACAGTTACGGTGAGCATGCCCACACCATAATTTCTCTTAATTTCCCGGTCTCGAATTTATCTTCTTAAGGAACACGTCACACTCCGATTATCCTACTAAGCAAGCCACGTGGATACCTCACAAAGGCCTATAAATACCCCCAGGGGCCACCTTAGAAAGGTAATTGAAATCAACCTTAAACTCTTTTTATCTCCACTCTAAAGGTAGCCCCGATTATTGCTAACTTAAGCATCGGAGTGTTTACCCCGAGGACCCACCTCGGGGGCAGGTACATCCAAAGTGAAGATGCGGACTGAAGAAGGACTTCTGGTTTGGTGCAGTTACATTGGCGCCGTCTGTGGGAACTCGAATAAAAAGTTTTATTTGTATGTTGATCCAGTTGATCGAAGGGAAGAGAAGATGAGTGAAAGGCTCATGGTTGATTCTTTTGAGTCGCAAAAGTAGATCTGATGAATTTACAGAATGGGTTTATTCGCTTGTAAAGAAGAGAAGCTTTCACAAGAAGATAAACAGAGGAGTAGATTTGCACAATTATCGAGGTTCAGCTTTGCATAATTATCAAGGTTCAGCTTTGCACAATTATCGAGAGCCTATTTCATAAAATAAAAGGTACGTATGGTGTAATGTCAGCCATGAATATTCAAAGAAGGAAAAAAGGTGTCAGTCAAGCACATGTTCAAGGCAAGTCAAAGTAGTAAAAATATGTATATATATATGTATATATAATAAATAAAGAAAAAGAAAAAGACAAAAAAAAAAAAAAGAGAAAAGAAATGGAAGAAGTGGTGAGCACAGACCATGAAAGTTCCCAATATATATATATATCCCTTTTCTTCCAAGCTCCTCTTGTTTCGACTATAGCAATTATGTGCCCCTCTATTCTCCAACCATGGATGTACTTCCCATCTATTTAGTTGGTAATACAAAACGAAGGAAACAGAAATGGGGTTGGAGGGTGTAGTGAATAAAGGCATGAAGTTGGGGGAGATGGCATTCAACAAAGTCGGTGGAGTCATCAATTGGTTCCTCGGTCATATGGTTGTCGCCACCCGCACCATCCACCAACCCCTTAAGCTCTCCGACCTCGTCATCAAAGTCCGAGCTGCTCAACTACCATTGTCCTCAGCTCATGAAGAACTCCCAACTCGGCAACGAGAAGCATTCTTATAGCTCGGCAATGACAAAATAGTCGCCCAGCTCAGCAGCACCAAGCATTCTCCTAGTTCGACTTGCAACCACAAGCATCCTCCTTGGGCAATAAACCATTTGAGTTTGGTTACCACTTTGTGATTATTGGGGAGACAAATCTTAACCTTTTCATTATTTTACTTTGTTTTTTATATATTGTTTTATTTTCTTTTGCGGTAAAGCAAGTTGGAATCTCCCTCTATTTTGAATTTGTTTTTGCAGAATCCAAGGGATAAGTCTAGACTAGGCAGCTTGCCAGTAATAAATTAAATCCCTCCAATCAGCTGTTAGGGAGCAAAAGACTATGGTTCCAATGACAAAAAACGCTGATGGTAGTGTTAGAGATGGAAGCTCTAGAGGTACTGGACACCACCCTTCAAGATGACAATTAAACCACTACCAGGAACACACATGCTGCTCTGAGAAGCCAGTAGTCTCATTTCATGCTCAGTTGAGAGCAAAGGCATTCAACCGCCCACGTAGCATCACCGAACCATTTGGAGGCTTGAAAAATTTGCCAATAAAGCTGTGAATAACGAGCTGTAACGAGCAAGCCATTTGGAGTTATTATCCAGTGGAAATTTGACAATAACGAGCTGTAAAGTCCCTGCTGCAACACGAGCTGGGAATTGCAGGAGCATGAGAAGCGAACTGCAATAACATGAGCTGCGAGCTGTTGAGTTCAAAAGCACGAGTTGCCGAGCTCACAAGCATGATGCAGAACTCGGGCAAGATCTTTTGAGCTGCTGAGCACAAGTTGTATAGCACAAGCTGTCAAGCACGAGCTACAAAGCTCCAAACGAGCTGCCGAGCTCAAACACGAGCTGCAGAGGTCGAGCACGAAGTGCAGGGGTTGAGAATGAGCTACAAAGCTCAAACACAAGCTACATAGCTCAACCACGAACTGTAGAGCTCAAACACAAGCTACAGAGCTCAAACACGAGCTGCAGAGGTCGAGCATGAAGTGCAGGGGTTGAGAATGAGCTACAAAGCTCAAACACAAGCTGCAGAGCTCAACTACGAGCTGCAGAGGTCGAGCACGAAGTGCAGGGGTTGAGAATGAACTACGAAGCTCAAACACAAGCTGCAGAGCTCAACTACGAGCTGCAGAGGTTGAGCACGAAGGTTGAGCACGAAGTGCAGGGGTTGAGAATGAACTACGAAGCTCAAACACAAGCTGCAAAGCTCAAGCATGAGTTGCAGAGGTTGAGCACGAAGTGCAGTGGTTGAGCATGAGCTACAGAGCTCAAACACAAGCTGCAGAGGTCGAGCACGAAGTGCAGGGGTCGATCACGAAGTGCAGGGGTCGAACACGAAGTGCAGAACTCAAGCACGAGTTGCAGAGGTCAAACACTTACTGCCAAGGTCAACCACGAGCTGTAGAGGCCGAGCATGAAGTGCAGAACTTGAACATGAGGTGCAGAGGACGAGCATGAGTTGAAAGATATGCAGCACGAGCTGCAAGGTGTCAACACCCTCAACAAGGTACCGACACTTTTCCTGCATTCGTCCTGAGAGTCCGTGTCGGGTTTTTGTCCTTCTTTGCAAATTTTGTTAACGGTAAAATTACAGTCTCGACCCCTTACTTTTGGATTCTGCATAATTTAATCCTCAAATTTCATATCTTTGCAATTTATTCCTAAGAATTATGACATCTTCTAATTAAATCCTTTTCTACATAGAATGAATGTTATATACAATTACATAAATTTTCATACAACTCATTCAAATATCAATAATATCAAGGCATAGATTCTACATTAATATGTATATAAATTTAATTCATTAGTCATGTATTGCTTTGAAAATTAACAAAGATGAACTCACAATTTTTTTCTCTTATTTATTTTACACAATATATTTTCTTGACTATAAGACTGGATGCTTTAATTTCTCCTCTTTTCAAGTCCTTGTGATACAGGTTGTCAAGAAAGCAATTGAGCTCCGCAGCAAATTAGAGCTTTAGTCCAAGCTTGGTCCAATCTTATTAAAATTTATTATTAATTGCTTTCCACATTCTTTACATTCATTCCACATTTTTCCATTCATTCTGCACTTGTTTTTGCATTCATAATATCATTTTGCCATCTCATTTTTTATATATCATAATCATGCTACTTTGCTCATTTGCACTTATGATTATAAATATATGTTGCTATTTTAGAGATGGAAAAGTGTAGGGACTCTATGTGGGGTGGGTTCTAGAGAAATCCCTTTATGGTGAGCTCCTCCATCAAAATTATATACGAGCTATGAACAACTCCTCCATCCAATTTTAAAAGGCTACGGGCCCTAACCATAAAGCTCAATAGCCTACGAAGATGATCAAGTAAATTTCTTCTCTGGCATCATTTATGAGAGGCTAGATTTTTTCTCTCCACATTTGCTCTTGAGTCACGGCAAGAAGCAGTTAACATCATTCGTAAGAAGCTAAATTCTTTCTCGAGTTTCTACCTCATCAAGCACAATTCTTTCTCAAGGATAAATTAATTCTGCTCTGCAAGTCAAGTAAGTGTTACATATTAGAAATTTCAAAATTACTTTGCACATTTAAGATTTTTATGAGTTATTTTGCATGTCCAAATTTTGTTCTTATATTTACAAGCTAGAAAGACTTTTTATTACCACATGCATGACTCCTTGTTTATTGGACATGTTCAAGCATAAAAATGCAAATAGTGTAATTTATGATTACAACATTTATGTTTAGCAACCCCAAATGTGCAGGGTAAGGGGGGAGAAGAGTCATCTATTATGACTTCTAATAGGAACCTATGATTAAAATGTGCAGCTTCATAATTTACTTTAGTTACAATTATTAACTGTGATACTAAGCTTAAGATATATATATATGTGTATATATTTGTACCCTTATCATATAATATGGTTAGCCTTGGACTTTAACAACAGAAACTTCATGTGCTGACTTAGGAACTTAAACAAGTTCATAAAACTTGGTTGAGCTAATCCTCATGATAACCCATTCCGAGGTGAAATACCTTGGATGAGGCAAACAACCTCAGATGAACTCAATCCGAGCTCAACTACTTGAGCTCATCCTCATGCCAACCCATTCCAAGGTGAACTACCTTGGATGAGGTAAACACCCTCGGATGAACTCAACTACTTGAACTCATCCTCATGGCAACCCATTCCAAGGTGAACTACCTTGGATGAGGTAAACACCCTCGAATGAACTCAACTACTTGAGCTCATCCTCATGATAGCCCATTCCAAGGTGAACTACCCCTAGATGAGGTAAACAACCTTAGATGAACTCAACTACTTGAGCTAATCCTTATGACAACTGAGCTCAAGTCTAGTTGAATAGTTAAAATGAGGAAAACCTTGAAATATTTCAATATAATAGCCAAGGTGATCCATGAAGTTAGGTGAGACATTCAAGGATGTCACCTAATAAAATTTCTAAAACACCCAATGAGGAATATATATATATTATGAACTTTTATATAGTGTGGAGGCCCTGTGGGCTGTAGTCTATTAAAACAAGCATACAATAAACTAAAAAGAAATCTAAAACACTGGCACTTAGCCTCCTAAAGCCATGTTAATCATTTTGAATCTACTCTAGAGATCTCGGCTTGTAGCTAGTTGGTTTACTTCGCCAACTTTTCAAGTCAACAAGCTTGCAGCCAGCTTGCCATTTCACTAGCCATCCTGTTCCACCTTTCATGGGTCATTCATTAATAAGATATGCTAAGCCCCTATTTATTGAATATATTGAATATAATATATTCTTCATGTTTTAATTAAAAGTGAGTGGCTTAAATGACATTTATTTATACATTTGTGGAGTCTCCTACAAATGGTGGAATAATTTACAAGCTAATGGTATCCACGACCTAGTGGTCTTTATTATTAGTTCTAACTCAAAGAGATAAATCTCTCTTTGAGAGAGGGAGTGGGAATACATAAACATAAACTTCTATACTTTACTTGGCATGCATTTAATTTGCTGCTTGAATAACTCAACCTGAGTATATTTTAAATATTCATATCTTATTATTGTTTATTTTGATGACTTATGCCACAGACATTTATATTTAATTCTAAATTATTGTGCCACTTTAATGTTGATGCATCTCATGTATTATTGATTATTGATGAACTAATGGTATCTTGTCAAGTTCTATGTTTAGAATGAATTCTTACAAGTCTCATGAGTTTGTTAACTCCTTGGCTTGGAAGACTCAGAAATATGTTATTAGCTTTTAAACTTATCAATTCATCAGAAAATACTATTGGCCCTTGAGCCCATTAGCTATTGGCTTTTTTAGCTCATTCGATCTACAAGAGCTTGCGTCCATCAACTATCAGCTTCTCAGCTCATTTGTTCTATGAAAGCTCAGTTCAATCTTAACTCTACAAAGCACAACCTTCAAAGGGGTTTGATTTTATCCTATGACTCGAGAGACTAAGATTTTCTTATGGGCATCTCAAGGTGGGATTTTGTGGTAGGCATCTCCAGCTACCAAAATTGGCATTCAATCAACTCTACAAAAACTGGTTTTGATCCTAGCTCTATAAAGCATGACTCTCAAAAGCCTGACTTCCATTATTATGGCTCATGAGATTGCAAATTGTCACTTTCGAGTCGTCATTTTCAAGTCATCATTCTCAGCTACAACCATAACACATGACTATGGGTCATGCATCTTTACTTCAGCTATGGCCACAGTGACCCCGAGTCACACATTTTATTTCAGCTCCAACCACATGACTTCAATCATTACTTTTATTTCGGCTCCAGCCCTTATGACTCCGGTCATTGCTTATTACCTTGGCTCCGGCCACATGACTCCAGTCATTACTTATTACCTCAGCTCCGGCCACATGACTTCGGTCATTACTTATTATTTCGACTCCGGCTGCTATGACTCCGGTCAGCATTATTTGCCTCGGCTCTAGCCATAGTGACCCCAAGTCACCTATTTTACTTTGGCTCCTGCCATAGTGACTATGCGTCACCTATTTTTCTTCGGTTTTAGCCATAGTGACCACACGTCACCTATATTTCTTCGGCTCTAGCCACAATGATTGAGTCATCAATTTTACTTTGGCTACAGCCATAACACATGACTCCATGTCATGCAATTTTACTTCAGCTACGGCTATAACACATGACTCTGTGTCATGCATTTTTTCCTTGGCTATGACCCAAAACACATGACTCTATGTCATGCATTTTTAGCTTGACTGCAGCCAAAAACACGACTTCATGTCATACATTTTTATATTGACTATCCCCGTCTACACTCATCTTCCACACTAATCATTCACAAGTGAATAACTTCGAGGGGGGAATAGTGTAAGGATAGGTTCGAGGTTAAGGACCTCGGACGTACTGCTATAATTCCTTAATAACTGAAGTGAAGCACTTCCTAGTCAAACAGCTGCATGGCAGTTACGGTGAGCATGCCCAGACCATAATTTCTCTTAATTTCCCGGTCGTGAATTTATCTCCTTAAGGAACACGTCACACTTCGATTATCTTGCTAAGCAAGCCACGTGGATACCTCACAAAGGCCTATAAATACCCCCAGGGGCCACCTTAGAAAGGTAATTGAAACCAACCTTAAGCTTTTTTATCTCCACTCTAAAGGTAGCCCCGATTATTGCTGACTTAAGCATCAGAGTGTCTACGCCAAGGACCCACCTCGGGGCTTTGCAAGTACATCCGAAGTGAAGATGCGGACTGAAGGACTTCTGGTTTGGTGCAGTTAAAATGATAAAAATCAAACTTGATAAGTCTTAATCTATATGCTTAATTTATAGGATGATTCATAATTTTATTATTTTGAAAGTTTTTCATATTATTGTCATTCTTTAAAATATGTTATCGTTTTATACAAACTCTTTAAGAGTTTTAATTATATTTAAATCATAAATATATTTTACAACAATAACAAATTTTACTTTTAATCTCTTAACATAATATGGTATTTTTAAAAAGTTTTTTTTAGAAGGTATTCATTAAGACAATCATACGACATTCATTCTTTCATATCAGTCGATACAAAAATTTTGCTCTTAGTCATGCTCTGTATATTTCAAGAATCATATACTTCTAGCATCATATGCTTACCATATATTAAGCTACAGCTCTTTTAAGTTTTACAAGAACTTTTGTATAAATATAATTATCCTATATTGTGATGTTGTAATATCTATAAAATATATTTATAGTCCTTTAGAGACTTCAAGAAAAAAAGATAATAATAAAATTCATCAAAAGAGAATATTTTTTCATTACTGATTTCAGATTTTGCATAAATCTTTATGTTAAAGTTTTGCTTTGTATTCATTATATATTTTCATTTATACTGCTTGTAGCATGCAAACTTTATATTATTATATATTTGAAATATTGATCTAAAAATATCATGTAATTCTCATGATTTTAATTTTAGTAAGATTTGTCTCATTTTTTATTGGCCAATTATTTTTTTATTGACATTTTTTAACAAATTTTAGTTAAAGATCCTCTTTTTTGTTGACTATATCGTTCACTATAACATACGCAAAATTTCTTATCAATAACAAATTGATTTCAATTCCTTCCTCCTTTTAGGAAAACCATAATTTTATAGGGATATGATCTTCTATAATTTCTACATTGTTATTGTTTTCAAGTATCTAAACCTCTTCTAGGGTTACTTCCTCAAAATTTATTTGAGATTAATAATGATTTCAATAATACTGACATTGTACTTATGTTTTTTTCTTCATTCTTGAATTTTTATCCTTAGAAATAGTCATTCTACCACACTTCTAGTGCACACATAATATATACTCATTTTCCTATATATTATTAACTTTTCTAATAAAAATATCAATAAAAGCAAGAGTGTTCAAGGCATAGATATGTGATTTACTTTCTTTCACTGCGTCAATGTATCCATTTGACAATTGATTATACAAAAACATTGAATTTCCAATTCACATCAACTTGTTCAAGGATATTGGATGATGCATCTCAAATTATCGTGTCTTTTCAATATTTATTCATCTCTCTTGTTGCTAGGAACATGATTTTGATAAATTGAAAATCACAAATTTTGTTATGAGAAGAACATCAATCAATCATTCAGGATATCTAATAATATATGTGAATTCAAAACTAACATTAATTTCTAGCCTTCTTTGAAAGTAAGTATTATTGAGCCAGATTTTCTATATTATCTTGATTGTATATTTTGAAAAATATGTTCTCAATGCAACATTACACGTTGCTTAAGGAACTAATTTGTCATTATTATATTCAAGAATATATTAATATCATAATCCATATTTCAAATAACTAAGAACATGTTTATATATCTCCTTGAACCCAATATAATAGGAATAAAGGAGATCATTTTCTAATTTCATTTGCAAAAGAATTGGTAATCACGTTCCCAAGAAAATAAAACATATGAAAAATTACTTGATACCTAAGTCAATAAGGCCTAAAACTAAAAACCTTTAGGATCAACTAACTTCTAGTTAATCTCCAAGTTTGATCTGATTAGATTTGTGCACGTATATATAATTTAGAAGAGAGATGCAACATTTTCTAATATGTGCTCTTTTAACCACATATAAGAGAAGTGACATAGGAGTATTTTATATCATTCTCATTTATGTTTTCAATATGATAACCATTATATCTTTGCATCTTTGAAGTTTAGTAAATTCTAATATAATAAACTCGAATATAAAAAGTCACATACTTAAAAATTTTATTTCTCCAAACTAGAAACTTGAAACTCTTTAGAGCATTAATAATATACAATATTTAAGATCTTCCAAAACTTTCAATGGTAAACAATGTTCAAGCTTTTATGGATTTTTTCAATCAAGCTTGTATCATCAAATATAAAATTAGCTTTAGATTAACTATTAAAATTACTTTTAAATTTTTTTGGATAACAAGTATTGTTCATTGTCTATATAAGGTATATATATATTTGGGTAGGGATCAACTTATACACAAATCTTATACACTACACTTACACAAAATCTCAATCATTTTTCTCTCCACTTTTAATGACTGAAATTTATTCACATTTATTAAATATATATATATATATTTCTACCTAAAAGTTGTAACAAATCTCAACCACTAAAAGTAGAGAGATGAATGATTGAAATTTTGTGTAAATGTGATGTGTAAGACTTGTGTGTGAATAGATTTTTTCTATACACACACACATGAAAGATTGTCTTACGGTTTGCCCTATAGCAAACTGTAAGACATGACACCCATATGTGTGTATATATATATAAAGTGGCATACCCTTTTTGCACATAGAAAGTAACATACAATTTTTTAAGTTTTATTCTAACATTATATTATATAATAGAAGTGCATACATGTTACATTTTATTTGTCACTCAGGCACCATTATACCTTTATTATATTGTAACAATTCCTAGCACAATTATTGATTTCATCACTAATAGTAAGTGCCTTTTTCTAAAATATTTCTTCATGATACATAATCCTATGTTAGAAGACATAATTTTATTTTTTTATTTAATTTTTAAAAGATAAAATTGATGCACTTTTTTTTCATATATATATTTATATATATTAATTTATCACTAATAGTAAGTGCCTTTTTCTAAAATATTTCTTCATGATACATAATCCTATGTTAGAAGACATAATTTTATTTTTTTATTTATTTATTTTTATATTAAAAGGTTAGTTGCTTGACATCATGAAGGTTTGAACTTCTAATCTTGATCTCAAATCAAGGTTTTTAAGTTAGTGTGGGTACCAAATTGGCTAAGTTCTTATTGGTTTGGAAGACAAAATATGTGATCAATTTGAATTGCAAAATTTGATATATAAATTTTCCATATGAGAAAAGGTACTATAGAAATACTCATGTCCATGTCAAAATCAACTAAATTCTACTTTTCTATGTGCATTCACGCATCTTCTCTACTCATTTTAAACAAATTCTTTCTTATTAAGGAGATTTGATCTTAAAATAATTCTCTTTTTTAATTCATGATCTCATATTAAGATGTAATTTTTATTTTTCAAATATTTGAGCTAGTTTTCCACATTATTCTCAAAATAAAAATGAGATATTCAAATTTAAAATCAAATTGTGTATCCCAAATGCATATCCATGTTATTGTTTTCCACAAAATTCTCCTTTGGTGAATGCACCAATACTAACACCAACTCCCCACGGCAGCCACAACCAGCTTCCAAATCAACACCATCATATTCCCGAAAGACATTTGCTTAAGCGTACTTGGAATATTCTGTTAGACAATATTTTAGGATATTAGAAAACAATATTATATATTAAATAAAAAAGTTAACAAATAATTAAATTCATAACTATATGTTTTTTAAAAAATTATTAACCAAAAATTCAAAATTAGACTTCCATATTACAATACAAAAATTGTTATACAGCTATTCTATTACCATTTCAACCATCTTTCCTAAACGAAAAGAAGAAAAAAAAAAAGGAGTCAAGTCTTATTAATTACCAAATCAATAATCATGTTTAATTAAGAATAAAAACAAACTAACCAACTCACGTACAAATAATGAGGGTAATCAGTGCCATAATCCATAATAAATAGCAAAAAATGATAGAAAATAATAAAAACTTTAACAAATTTTTTAAGTCATAGCAAATGAGAATCATAATTTATAGCAACTCAACAATAAATTAAAAGTTTAGAATTCATATATCATATAAAAAAATAATAGTTGGAACCAAAAAAATACTCATGACAGTTTAATAACCCCTATCACCCTCTTCAACTTCTGATTCTTTTCCTTTAGACAAAATCATCGTCAAACTAGTCATTTTGGACTCTATGACTATATTTAAAAATTCAAAAATTTACCTATGAAATATGATGAAAATATTTGCACATGAAAAAATGTAAGAGAGAAAATCTAGAATTTGCAATGGATGAATGTAATAAAGAAATTCTTCAAGTAACAAAAAACAAAGATTGGAGTTGATGTTCTTAAATTATTTTACCTAAAGAACATATTTAAAGTGTGAATGGATGAATGAATGATGATGGAAGAGATTTAGACCAAGTTTGGTGAAGCTATAAGAGTTTTTACTTTTTTTTTGTACTGTTTATGAGTGATAAGTTTAAATTTTTATTGGAAGGAAAATTTAAAAGTTGGTTTTAGAAATAGGAAAAAGTGAATAAGAAGTGAGTAAAAAGGAAGTTTATAAAATGCACAAATTTGAAATTTTTCAAAATTTACTGTTTAAGATCTTTTTAAGGTTAAGATCTTTTTAAGGTTAAAAAGAAGTTAAAAATCTAAGTTTTTACGAGAGAAATTTAAACTTATGAAACATGAATAGTGTTAAAAAGCTAAAGCTCTTATAAGCTAAAGCTCTTACAAGCTTCACCAAACCTGCTCTTAACTAGATTTGTGGTTGCTAAAAGTTTAGATGATCAATTTCAACAAATTATATCTACATTGCATAGACAAGAATAGAGTGATTGATGATTGAACTAATCTAATCTACATAATATCCATGATAGTAGATTGATGGTGGCTAAAGTCTAGAAAGTTAAAAGATCGATGTCAAGATGAATAATAATAAAGATCTGGCGATA